CCTTTTTTTTTTTTTTTTTTCTCTTTAGTACTCCGACCTCAAGAGGAATGAGTACATGCGAATCACCGCTAGGCTTCCATTTCAAATTCTTCAAAAGGTATACTTCCGGTAATTCTTATTCCTCGTTTTTCTTTTAAAAAAATCTCAATTTTGTATGCAAATGCTGGAAACAAAAAGATGCAGTTCTTTCTATGTTACTTCTTTCTAAAAACCATATATAAAAGCACCCTTCTGTCACTTTTACTTATAACTTCCATAATAAATACTAAAAATAAAATATAACATAATAATTTTGGAAGTTTTACTTTTTAAAAGTTACTTGTCTTGTAAAAAAAAAAAAAAAAAAAAAAAAAAATCTAAGTTAAATTTTGAGAGAAATTTTCTACAATGAAGAAATAAGGAAATTAATAATAACAATTACCAAGCACGTTCATGTTTTTCTTTCTTCGAAATCAGGAACAACAAACACAGAGATGAGAATCAATAAACTATCAAACCGGCCCTAAATAATTTTCTGCCTCTAACTCTGCAGGAAAGAGAAAAGGATTTTCAAACCTCATTCACTCACACCTAAGCTAGTCAACGACGATCGTCCAGATCATAAAGCTCACCTTGAAGAATCTAATCGCACATCCAAAGAACTTTAGGATTTGCTTTGTCCAGTAATCATTCCTTCATCTGCAAAACATGAAGGAAACAAAACAAAAAAGAAAAAAAAAAGAACTAAGCAATACAGAACAGCCTCAAGCGGTAAATGAATCAAAGAACGATGAAGAGAATGAAAGTACCATAATCATAACTTAACAGTATAACATTGTTGAGAGAGAATGGAGAAAGCAGAAGGATCAAGCAGCGAATAATTTTCGCGGGAATAAGAAAATGTAGAAGAACACAGCAGGAAGCATAGGAAGTTAGGAACTCGAGCGAAAAGTTCCTACGGCCGAACGAAGGAGTGAGAGAGAAAGAGGGGCGAATTGCTTGACGCCTTTCGATGACTTTGATGGACCATGAAAGTAATGGACCTGACGGCCCAATACGACATTAGGCCCAACTAATGTCCATTTTTTTATTTAATCAAAATATAAAAAAAACATTAAAAAAAAAAAAAATTCTCCAATCCATACCTCGACCCTTGCAAACTTATCTCCGATGTCTCATGAACATCTCTACATCAAACGAATAAAAAAATAATTAACGAATAAAAAAAAAATTAACCAGGACTTCGACTTTCATCACAGTTGTTGAACTAGACATGTATCATCAACACATAAGTATCAATTTGAGCATTACTCAACTAGTGAAAAAATACGTACTCTAAATTAAAAGTCCAATTGTTTGAATTCTCCACCCTCAAATGTTATTTTTAACTAATAAAAATAATCTTTAGCACGTGCATTTAACCCACGAAGCTTATTCGCTCCAACGAGGGTTGAGAGTATTCAAAGCAACTCGAGAAATCCAACTAGAATCTCGAGGATTTCGTAAAATTTTTAAGAGGTAGTAATTTATTTTATGCCTCAATTTCTCTCTCTCTCAAACCGAGTCCGCCGTTGACGAAGCACAACCTCAATACCATCAATTAAGGGACTAAATTGAAAATTTTAAATCGAGTAAATCGAAAAAATATTTAAATATTTAAACTTCGTATATTTAGCCCTAATAATTATGTATATCTATATTATAATTTAACCTACATTATACTATCTCTTCAAAATTCATGTTTATAGACAAAGAGATTTGGACCAAAAAAAATACTAATAATAACTCAAACAGAAAGAAATGAAATAATTTTGATTTAAAAAAATAAATAAAATTCATTAATAATTTTAATTCATAAGTCTTTCATTTCGAGAAATCAAATTAAGAGCATCGAACTATTTACGTAACAGGGGAGATGGAGGGATCATCATCCATTTATGAAGTTTCCAATTTTGAACATTGATGACAATAATTCTCGGAAGATTTCGCTTCGGTCCAATGGCAGATTGTTTAATTTCTCTGATGAACATAGATCCTACAAATTTTCTTCGTATACCATCAGCAATTGCTTTGCTACCTGTTCCAATTTTCATCCTCTTTTAATCTCAGTGTATTTTCGATGTCGTAGTCCAATAATTCGTTAGGGGAATTTACCTGTTCGATGCTACCATCTTCGAACTCGGTGTTGAAGGAGAGCAGCAGGTGTTCATGGCGCAAATTTTCCAGATCTTCCACGTACAGGGGAGCTGCAATGGAAGGAAGCATAGCGGAATTAGATCCATGGAAGAAGATCGAGAAACTCCGGAAGGTAATTTTAATGTAACAACGTTTGGATTGAGAGAACCAAGAGAAGACATCTGAGGCGAGATTCAGCGATTTCTGGTGAGAATCGCCACCGCCCCATTTGTTATCAATGGCCATTTGAAGGCCGTCCCACCGAGAAAACACCGACGAAATAGCCATTTCGAGGCTGGAGATTGATCCTGCCTTGTGATTGATTGAGGTTAATCCATTATTTGGCTCCATGGATAAACCTCAGAGCTTCGTCTTCGTCTTCTCCTTCTCCTTCCTCCAAACCCTACAAATCTTATTTTTCTTTCTCCTCTTCTAACTGAATTATCAGAGAGAGAGAGAGGGCGGTTGAATGGAGAAATTAATGGCAGAATCGGGCGGAGAGAAAAGCGGAGAACTGTTTGGATGGAAAGAGAGAGAAACATTTGGGACTTTTTTTTACCACTCCGTCGTCATTTGAACCGTCCTCGTCGCCGGCTCTGTCCAAAACAATCGTTTTATTTCTGCTCTGTTCGACCCAATGACTTCACCTCCACTGGCCTTCGCATGGCCATGACAGAGCTACACGATTAAGGAAGGATCAATAAACGATGTCTTTGTCGGGTGCAGTGCCGTCGACATGTTCGTGAAATTGGGTGTTATTGAGGATGCGTACAAGGTGTTCGTTGAAATGCCTCACCGAAACCTCGAGACGTGGAATGCGTATATATCCAATTCTGTGCTCCATGGGCGGGCTGAGGACTCTACCATTGCATTTATTGAGCTACTTCGAGTTGGTGGGAAGGCAGATTCAATAATGTCTGTGCTTTTCTCAATGCGTATTCAGAGAAACTAGGCTGGGTGCATGGGTGTCAGCTACATGGGTTCATTATTCGAAGTGGGTGTGCGCAGAATGTCTCTGTTTCAAATGGGTTGATAGCTTTTTATGGGAAATGTGGGGAGGTTGAATGCTCTGAAATGGTTTTTGACAGAATGGGAGAGCAGAAGAGAAAATGCCTGTGAGAAACTTGGTGTCTTGGAATACATTGTTGGGCGGATACGCAGACAAGGCTGTGGCATTGCTCGAGGAGATGGCATCGATGGTGGGCATGGCGCCGAGCTATGTAAGCTTGGTTTGTGCATTATCAGCTTGCAGTAGAGCAGGAGATTTGAAGATGGGGATGCAGATTTTCTGAGTCCATGAAAGCAAGGTTTAGTATATAACCAAGGCAGGGCATTAAGCTTACTCAATAGATCTAGCGGTGGGTTTGAGCGGTTAGAAATGGTATTAAAGTCATGTAGGCGGTGGTGTGTCAACGAAGACATTGACCCTAGAAGGTAGATTGTTAGGTCCCAAATCAGTTGGAGAAGGAAAAAAAACGTTCCTTATTCTAGAAACCTATGTCTAGCAAAGACGTTTTAAACCATGAGGCTGGCAGCGATATGAAACGGGCTAAAATAGACAATATCTATTAGCGGTGAGTTTTAACTATTACAAATGGCATTAGAGTCATTCGAGCGGCGTGTCAATGAGGACGTTGGCTCCTAAAGGGTAGACTGTTAGGTGTCACATCGGTCTAAGGGGTGGACTGTTAGGTGTCACATGGTATGTAACGGACCAAACCAAATCGAAGCATATAAAATGTGTGGTTGGGTTATAATTTCTCTAAGTTTTCCCCATTCACCATCTGTACATAACATCATCAAATTGCCATCCTTCCCTCTGCATTCAACACTTGTCCCAACAAGGCCAACCCACCGCAACTGCTTCCCCACATCAATCCCTTCAAACAGCGCACAACAAAATCCAGCTGCCACTGCAGAAAGAAACCTCCCATAGTTATTTTTATTTTATGTTGATATCATGAGTCGGGAACAGCCACGTAGGGGTGAAGAACAGAGGCAGCCTCGCCGGAACGACGTCGACGAGGGGCAGGAAACCATCAAATACGGCGACGTTTTCAACGTCTCCGGCGACCTGGCTGCGAACCCCATCGCACCACAGGATGCTCGCATGATGGGCAGTGCCGAAACCAGGGTATTGGGGCAAGTGCCGCCGGCTGGTCCGGCCGATATCATGCGAGCCGCTGCTGCTTATAATGTCCGGGTCGGTCTTCTTGGTACCCGTGATGTTAGCTATGCTGCTAAAAACGAAGGCATCAACATTAGCGAGACCGATATTCCCGGAGCCCGTGTCGTAACCGAACGCGTCGCCGGACAGGTTCCCATCTTGAATTTCTCAGATCAATTCATCTCTTTCTTTACCTTTTGTTAAAATTACCAGTTGGGTTCCTTCATTTTTAGATTAAAACTTATTTTTACGTTCAAAAAAGTAATTCATTTGTTGGTGGGTGCTTGATTTTTGAAGGTCGTCGGCCAGTATTTGGACACCACGACGGCGATTGAGACAGAGACGACGGAGCAGAATGTAATAACGATCGGGGAAGCACTAGAAGCGGCGGCTCAAACTGCCGGAAACAAGCCGGTGGAACAGAGTGACGCTGCAGCAATTCAAGCCGCAGAAGCCAGAGCAATCGGCAGCAATGCCATATCTCCCGGTGGGCTCACAGCCACGGCTCAATCGGCGGCGAGTTTCAACGCCGGGATGATTCGAGACGAGGACAAGATCAAGCTCAACTATGTCCTAATGGTATCAAACAGCTCATAAACTTCATAAAATTAATGAACAATACTTCTTCTCTGCTTGGGGTAGTGATATTGAATGACTTTAATTCTTGGGACTAACAGGGTGCAAGAGGAAAACTGGCGACGGACAAGCCAGTGAGCCGGAAGGATGCGGAGGAGGTGGTGAGCGCGGAGCTGAGGAACAATCCAAACTTGATCACTCACCCAGGTGGGGTGGCGGCCTCCATCACCGCCGCCGCGAGGCTGAATGAGGACGGCGGCGCAGATATATGAAAATAGTGACTTTTTAAATTCTTGTTCTTCTTTTTTGGTTGCTGTATTTGAAGTTAAAAAAAACAAAAAACAAAAAAAAACAATCAGCTGTTTTGTTTCATAATCTGTCATTAGGATTTTTTTTTTTTTTTTTTTGAGAAAATTAAGGACGGTTCATGGGTTTGGTCTTTTATATTATATAAATAATTTTGTTCAATTGAATTTAGACGTGCCCAAAAAAAAAAAAAGTTAAATTTTTTATAAACATACTAATTAATTAATTATAATATATAGTTTACCTGTTAGTAACCTCAACTACCTTCCATTTATCAACCATTTTGTTAGTATTAAGGAAAATAAAATCGAGATACGATAGGTTCGACGTTAAATAATTTTATTTCATTTTAAGTCTCGAGATATAATGATGGAGGTTTTGGTTCACGTCATCTTCCAAAAAAATGCAAAGATTTGAAATCTTTCGTCGATTTTATGACCTAATATTAATAAGTAATCCAAGTTGAAGATTTAAAAGAGGGTGAAAATGTAGATTATCCCAAAAAAATGTATATTTCATGTCACATTCATTTCCATTTTTGCATATTCCCTTAGGCTCACAAAACTTTGTGTGTAATAAAAAGAATATATATTTTGTAACTTTAATTTGCTTACTTTAGTTGACTTTATTTTATAGGCACAACTCTTCCTTCCATAAAATCCCCCACTCTCTCTCTCTCTCTCCTAAAGTACTCTTCAAATTCCCACTTTCACCATTTTCTCTCCTCTGAAAAAGATGTCCACTTTGAAGAAAACAAGTTTCCACCTCTGGTTTTCCAAGCTCCGCCGCTTTCCGGCCGCCTTGAACCCGTCATCGCCACCGCACACGTCCAACAAAAAACCCCTTTCTCTTCAAAACTCCACCTCCACGGAAGCTGACAACTGTTGCTTCTCCGATGAATCCACCTCGGACTCCGACTCCGACGCCGACGCCATTGTCCCTGACTTCTCTGCTGCTGTTGCTTCCCACCGCTTCTTCCTCTCCTCCCCCGGCTTCTCCAACTCCATCTTCGACTCCTCCCCCGACCACGCCATCAAGGTCCGGAAGGTTTCGACGGACCCATTTGTGGATTTTCGAGGATCAATGCAGGAGATGATTGAAGCCAGAAATCAGCCGGTGGACGTCCGGCGAGACTGGGAGTATCTACTGGATCTTCTCATTTGTTATCTCCAAATCAACTCCCTTGATACCCACAAGTTTATAACAACCGCTTTCTCCGACCTCCTCATTTACTTGCTGGAATCATCCCCGGAGTCACCCTCCGACCACCGTCTGCGGCGGCGGAATTGCCACTTACACAACTAGTTGATGCAAGAAAAACATCCAAATTTCCACCGTCTTCTTGTTTTATCAATTTCAAGTGAAGAACACAAGAAATGAATAAGAAAAAACGATCAAATTGAATGAAATTCAATGATTTGATAATAATCAAATGGGTTAGCTTTTATTGATCTTGTTTTTGCAGGAGAAAGCTTAGTAGTTGGTGGAAGTTGGAATGTTTGTTCTAATTAGAAGACAAAACAGAACAAGGTAAGCGTGGGATATGCAAAAGAAAGAACTTTTTAAAAAAATAATACTAATAAAAAAAGGGATTTTTTCCCTCTTTTTATTATTATTATTATTTTCTTGGAACATAATTGCTGACAACAAGGGTTGATTTATGTCCTTATAGACAGAAGAAGAAATGAGTGGTCCTATTAGCTTATGTTTGGTGATCACATAAATGCTTCTAATTTTATTTTTATTTTTATAATTCAGGTATTGTTGTAATATAAAAAATAAAACAAGGAAATAAATATTTATTCAACTAAATATTGATAGTCTAAAGATGAAAAAAAAAAAGTGTGAAAATTTGATGCATCTCAATTCTAGTTAGTACTCAAATAGAAACGCTTTCATTCTCATTTCTATGATTTCGAGTTCAATTTTTTTTTCTAAATTTCCTGATGACTCTGCTTATTTGATTTTGATATGAATGTATTTTTTTAACCCATTCATTCCTATAAGCTTAATGTTTTTTCGATCTAACCCGTTTGCACACTACTACGTACCATACACGAGATAGATCTTCCAACGAACAAGACTTTTTTCGAACAAGTCAATTCATTTGGGATCCTGCAGATCCATTCTTTTTCCTATTCAAAGATTAGCCTTTTGTCTTTGTGTTTTCGCATCAAGAATTTTTTACAGACAAAGAGATGTCAAATGGGCTGCTTACTTCCCTGTATATATAAACGCTGGTTTATCAAGAATATGCAAGAAAAGTACTTCGGATTGTTGATTAATCACCAAAGATGGCTTAGAACCAATAGTTCATTATCTAATGGATTTTTCCGTTCTAATACTCCATCCGAAAGTTATCAGTATTTATCAAATTTGTTCCTATCTAACGGAACGCTATTGGATCAAATAACAAAGACATTGTTGAGAAAAAGATGGCTTTTCCGAGGTGAAATGTTTGTTGAGTATCGAAAGGTATTGAAATGGGTCATTAAATTGAGGCAAAATCCATCCAGAAATTATATACTTGGGGCTATATAAGTTGCATGGCAGCTTTGATAAACCCAATATCGTGAGAGAGAGAGATTTGAAAGGAGTTTTGTTTGATTATGGAGTAAAGGGGACAAGGAGAAGAGGATCCTAAGAGAGATTCCAAGAGAGCATCTATAAAGTCGGACATTCTTGGAGTATTTTTATGCATATTTTTGTTTTAAGATCACTAATTTGATTTACTATCAAACATTTAGGGTTTGGTTTGGAGTATGTTTTATGTAATTACCATATTTTACTCTATGATGTTGGAGTAAAGTATGTATATTTTATCATCAGTGCCTAATTTGGTGGCTCGCTTCAAGATTTAACTTCATTCACCCCTGGATAGAGATAGCTTTGCCAATTTGGCAATGGTGACAATATGAACAATTATGAATGAGTATTAAATATTCACGTCTATCCTTCAGATATCGGACCGAGTTTTGGTCGAAAAAGGAGTTCGGGATTCCTATAGCTGAGAGAGGATAGGGAGGCTTCCATACATGAGATGTAAACTCTGCAAATTTAAGAGATTCCAATGGGTTCTATTCAAAGAGACTACTTTGTGGTTTCATGTAGCAAGGTAGAAAGGTTGAATCTGAAAGCTCTGAGTACAGAATTCATTGCAGCACAATCGAACTAATGAATTGGTGAAGAGGTAATCTAAGACTGAGAAAATTTTCAATATCATAACACTAAAAAGTTAGTTCCCATTCAATTTTTTCCCTCAAAATCATCTATGTACCAAAAAGGTTCTGGATCTTCCTATTGAACTGAAAGTTTAAACAAAATTTCACACAAATATGCATTATAGCAGTGAACCATCTGGATGAAACTATAAGGTTTAGCACTACAAGAATATGATTAAAGTTCACGATGGGGTTGGGTTTAGTTTTCACCTGCAGGGCCTACGAGGACTCCTTGAGCTGCACCTTCTTTCCGCCCACTGTCTTCCTCCTTAGCCTCGCCATCAGGCTTTCTAATCTTGATCTTGTATTTGGCCTCCAAGTCAGCAATCTCCTTCTTTTTCTTCTCCAAGGCCTCATTGAGTCTGGAAATGACCTCCTCGATTCCCTCTTTGTTGCGTTGAACGGCGGGCAGAACCTCCTTGATAGTTCTTTCCACCAGCACTCCCCCAATCATTCTGTAGCATCTTCTTGATGGATCAAGTGGTTCGATTGCAGAAATGACAAGAGAGTGCTCACTCGCTTCCATTTCGAGTTCTGTGATTTTTGAATATATCTGATTGAGCTCAGACCTTAAAGCACCGTACATGTTTGCAACCATTTGCTCATTTACGGGTTCCTTGCGTTCACTCTCACTTGCGCTTGCCATTTTGATCTGTAATGCGGTAGAAAGTTGGTAAACAACTTAAGAAACTAGTAGAATTACTTTTAACATTCATCCACGCATGAAATATCCAACACAACTCCCAACACCAAAAATTCTAGCGTGAGTTGTGTATGTGTGTGATCATGGATTGGTTTTGCAAGGAATGGCTCTTTGACGGAGGATGGCAACTCCCAATACCAAAAATTCTAGCGTGGGTTGTATGTGTGTGATCATTGAGATGATTTGGAAGGAATGGCTCTCTGTTGGAGGATGAGATCACATTCGTCTTAACAGATGTAGAAAGCGCAAGACAGAGGGTGATGAGGGTACATGTGAAAGTTTTCTTGAGCCAACAGTATACTCGTGGTTCTACATGAGTATGGTTGCACCCTTGATTTTAAACAAGATTGAAAACTGTACAAGGGTTTTATTTCAGAAAAGAAATCGTTTAACTTTATGTACTCAAACATCTCGACAATAGAAAAGCAAAATCAATAATCTCACAGAAAGTATAAATAAGATCATGACAGAGGGGGGGATCTATAACAATATTACTCAGTATATCAAGGAAGTTGTCTTACGTCAAAAGGGCAACCTCATGATCTTTCTTCATCCGACTTATGCTAAAGGTGGCTTTCCAACTTTTCTGGGTCTCTTTTGCTGCTTAATCTTTACTTTCACATTAATCCCATTATCAATGACAGACTGAAGCACGATTTGAAGCTTCCCTTCTATCCTCTCGCCTTTTCTTGGAGTGTATACCAGATTGTGGATATCATCAGCCAATGCTCTCTGGGCCAAAACAGCCCCCACAGCAGCACAGGCAGAGGAATCCTTCCTTGAAGTCAGGTCAAATTTCATGTCCTTAGAAATTGAATGTGCCACAGCAACCACCTTACTGGTGCCCCGGTGAATGATGCAGGCTCGAACAGAGGCTTTTGATATGTATATATCAAGACAAAATGGCTCATGGTAAGGGGCAGTAAGCTGATTAAACGTGGGTGTCCTAAGCTTCTTCTCAAAGTCATTGTTCTCCTCCCTTTCAATTATTACATATTTGTTCTTCACATGTTCAGGAAGCTTTACATGGCCACTTGCCAAATGATTATTGGGTTTATCATTGACTTTGCTTTTGTTTTGCTGCGTATCTTCCTTTTCCTTTATAGATTTTTTCTTCCGATGAAAATCAAAGCTATATTCTTCAAACTCTTTGGAACCTCGATCAAGTTTATAGAAGAGATTTCCCCGGATTCTCATGTTGTCAATATCATCAAACTCTGAATCACAATAATCAATTGGATCATGATCTTCATCCTCTAAGAAGTATCTATTATCAAAGCCAGATGAGCCCTTCTCTCTCCCTTCCCATGCTCGAGCTAAACCAAATGAAACTGCCCAAGCATCATCGTCTATAAGTTCAACATCATAAGCAACCGAATGAGGTTTACTCTCAGGAAACAGTGGAGATGGCTGAGGCGTGGATGAACCATTTACAATGCTATCTGAATGAGCTACCCTTTCATTCTCGCTTCTAAGGATTCCCTTGGCTAATGCTTTTGAGCCAAAACCGCAGGCCCTCAATACAAAGTGAGGGCTAATTAAAGAAAATCCTCTCCTTAAGAACATGAAGCCACTTTAAATTTTGAACAACCAAGGATCCTGACCACCAATTTACATGAATATCAAATGCCTAGGACAAAAACACAATAAAACCCGTAGTGAATGAATTAACTCGTAGAAGCAAAGCATCAAACAGATGGGCTGCATGATTGATGTTGTAAACTTCCACAATTAACTTTGTTCAATTGAATTTGACGTAGGAGGGAAACTCATAAATGTCTTAATTCCTAAAATTGCATCTAATTTGCAATTTGGGTGGATTGGTTAAATCCAAAAAAGCAAACCAATCCAAGAAAACTCTCTCCTTACATTTCATCCATGGTGGTCAGAAATCCAAACCCAGTGGTGAAAGTCAATTAAGCATAAGAAATGGCCAGTACAGATATCCCTCAAATCAAACTAAGAATCTGGCTTTGCAGACCGCACAGACTTCCTTCTCCCCTGCTCACAATGTAGGAAGGCCGGAAATCCACTTTTGGCATAGATGGGATTAAAATCATGAAGTTGAATTTTTAATAAGACAACTTCCTTGATAACTTAAACCTATAGATAACCTTCACAGTTCATTTTTAAAAAAACAGCTAAACCATAGTCTGATATCAGCACAACCCATCCCCCAATTACTAGTCATTTACCAACAAAACCTCATAATTTCATTGAATAAGGACAAAAACAATACTAACAACGGAAAGGAAAGTAAAAGAAGAGTACTCTAGGTTCAACCACAGTTTAAAAGCGCAATACAATATGAAGCCAGAACCGTTGATTAGTGAATTGGGTTCTAGCTCGATATGTTGGAATAAAATCTGAAACCACCATCTACTATAGTTCATAATACAACAAACAAGCACCTGAGACTCTAATTTCAGAGAAATATCATAAAGAAAATACAGTTGCTCAAACAGCTGTGAGCTGAGCCAAAAGGTTTTGGCGCCAATATACAAAAACACAGCAGTCAGCACGAGGAAGGCCAAATTTCAAAACAAAAGCAACTACTCCAAATTTCTGCTAAAGAATATTTAACAACCAACTTAAAGACGAACCCCCGGTATAAGTCCAATCACAAAATAAAACAGATACCAAAACCTAATCTCAGTCGAAGCCGCAAGCAAAACACAGGTGCATGATCCGCTAAGAAATCAAAAGCATTCGATCGCAAACTTAAAAAATAGTGTATGGAAGGGAATAGTACTTGATCAACGCCGCTAACCGGTGCCCGGAGTGAAGCCAAGTGGTGAGCGATTCGAAGGAGCGACGCGCGCAAGCTGCTGCGAGACTGCGAACAGCGGAAGGTGAAATTGAGGAAATTGGGTCACTTCGCGAGGGCAGTTTGGGACTTGACCTAAGATGTTCAATTATTATTAAAAAAAATCCCATAATTTTTTACTAGATAATTATTTTATTAAAAAGATTATAGTAAAAAAAGAATATTTAAAATAAAATAAAATACTAATCATTTTAATTTAAAACTAACGTAAGAAAAATAAGTATTTTTTTTAAGGTTGAAAGGCAAAATATATTTTTATTAATTTAAATATAAACATATTTTCAATAAATTTTTTATTCTACAAAGCACTACTATTTATTACGTCATTCTCCTAAATTGATCAAATTATTTTTTATTTTTCTAGAAATAATAAAAATTATGTAAATCCCAAAAGAAACAAATTTTACACTAAAAAAGAGGGGGGAAAGGGTATAATTGTAATATTCGCGTCGGCGGCGCTTTCTGAATGGCCATTTGCCACCCAAATTTTATTCCAAACAGCTTGCCTTTATAGACCATTCCCCTGCGTTGGATGCCATAAATTTTGTTCTTCTACGTTCCATCTCTGTAAGCAAAAAAAATGGAAGCTACCATCGTCGATTCAGACAGTAGACCGACGATCATGATCACCAACGACGACGGAATCGATGCGCCCGGTATTCGCGCTTTGGTTCGTGTCCTCGTCTCCACTAAGCTGTATAATGTTCAAGTCTGCGCGCCTGATTCGTACGCCTCTTCTCCTTTTTGTCCTCTCGCTTTCTTTTCTTTTTCCAATTTGCAAGTGTTGTTGTTTGAAGCTCATGATCATAATCTGTGTACAAGCTTGTGTGTTTTAGTTGGTGAAATTTTGTTCGTTCGTCTGTTTGTGTTTGGTGGTAATTTGTCTGGTTCAGTGCATTTGGTGTTCCTGTTTTTTCATTTTGCACGTGCCTATGCTAACTTCTTTCCTTTAGAATTTGGTGGCCTTGGATTGCGTGAATTGAGATATTAGGAACTGTCTTATCGGCAGTGTTCTTATTTTTTTTATCAATATGTTATGATTTGGTTATTGGTCGTATGATATTAGCTAAAACAAGTACTTCCCGTTTGTTTTGTTTAATAATACATATGAGGTACATATTTGATATTGTGGGGTTGTTTCTGCATTATACAGGGAAAAGTCAGCTGTTAGCCAGTCTATTACTTGGCGTCATCCTATTTCTGCTAAGAGAGTGGATATCGAAGGAACCACTTCTTATGCTGTTTCTGGTGTGGTCTTTTGTTCTCTAATTTGAAATATGTAGCTTCCTTTTCGTTTGACTTTGAACTTGTACACCTTACCTATAAATATTTAGTTCGTTGGAGGTTTAGAAAATGTAAATCTTCAATAGGCCTATAACCCCAAGTCCCCTATGGTTAGTTCGTTGAATTTTCTACTTTGTTGTGTCCTACAAATAAGCCTGACAATTTTAGAGCTCATAGCAATCCTACGAAGCTGTAGCAGTGTGATAGAGTAATGAAGGGTTGGAACGTTTCGATAATTACGCTCAAATGGGGCCTTAGTAATATAAAAGGACTGTTGACATATATTGAGATATCTGCTTTATTCCAATCTCAAATTACATATCATTCAATAATTATTTCTCATGGTCACTTTTACTTGATGGATTTGACTTCAAGCTTTGGGATTTAATAAAATGGACTAAAGTGATCTGCAATGCATTGCCTCCCTTCTTGAGGTGTAATGTTGGAGTGTTCTCATTTTCATTAAAACCAATTATAAATGATTTGAACTTCATTCTAGCTGATGTTCAATATTGCTTTCAGTGACATAATAAGGTTTTAAGGTTTCGTGCTTCTGCAGGAACTCCTGCTGATTGTACTTCTTTGGGAATATCTGGAACTCTCTTTCCGTCAAAACCTGATCTGGTATCTTTTTTTCCCTTTTACTTCATGGTTTGACTGCAGTATATTTTCTTATCCAGCTTTTTCTGCCTTACTCGCTTTAATTTACTTAACATGTGGATAACCTGACAAGAAGTTAGCGTTTATATTGACTCAAGAAATGTTGTTTCTCAACCTAGACGTGTGTCTGTAATTGCAAATGTGGATTATTTTGTTAAAAAACTTAATGTTGGATGGTAATGCTTCTCGCAATGTTATCACTAATGATTTATGAAGTTGGTGCATACAAGTTGTAATATGTTTAGCTCTTCCTGCTTATTTATGTATTGTACTTTAATTGCAGGTAGTCAGTGGCATAAACATGGGTAGCAACTGTGGTTACCACGTGTTAGTACAAATCTTGACATACTTTCCGTTATGTAAATCTACTTTGACAGTTCGGCTATCAGTGATATTTAAGTATCAAATATGTACTCAGCATGATATGTACATGCCCGTAGTGTTGGCAAGAAAAGTTTGCACTTAAAGTATCAAATCACGTGGAAGCCACTAAAGCTCCAATAATTGTTTATCTAACAAGTTAAATGTGCTCTTGAATAAAATAGTGAAGAAAGTATCCTTTTTGCTACAACCACATGGAAACACCGGGAAATAATATTCCCTAAAGCTTTTTGACAAAACAAATTAGTACAATTCTAAGAAGTAGAGACACTTTAGTTTGGTTTGTGTGTCTTTATTCGACACGTGTCGGGCACTTGGACACTTGGACACTTGGACAATTGTTGGACACAATACTTGTTAGCACAATGGATATATGTTAGACACCAACCATAGAAAGTCAATATATTTGTCTAACATTTGTTTGACACATATCAAACACTTGAATACTAAATAGACACCTAATAATATAGGATGAAAATACATCAAATTCATTTTTTAAGCTTATAAATGTATAAACTTATTGATTTTGAATTTTCATCTAATATGAAAATAAATTATATTTTAATAAACGTGTCCTTGCTTTCACCATGTCCTAGATTTTTAAAAAAAATGTTGCATCTATATTCGTGCTTGTTAGGTACAATTTTTTCCCCTTGTATTTTTTTTTTTTTTTTGTTGTTATATAATTAGGTACCAGTCACAATTACTAGGTCAACATAGAGAGTTCTCTATTTGTGGTTGAAAAGGATTTTGTAACTTTATTGAAGCAGTCATTCATTGAAACTGCAGTGTATATTCCGGAACAGTAGCTGGTGCGCGAGAAGCCTTTTTTAATGGCATTCCTTCAGTTTCTTTATCTTATGACTGGTACGTATAAAAACTCCCTGCATTGCTGCTAGACTTGGTCATTTCACTGTTAAGTAATATCTGTTGAGATAGGCTCCATTTTCCTATCAAAAAAAAAATATGTACCATTTTTTATTTTTTTCAAACAAGAAAGGTTTCAAATTGTAGAGCAGTGGATGGCTTGTCATCTCGGTTGAAAATTTTGTCCATCATCTGAATTATTAATCTACGTATATCTCATTATTTTAGGTATTATTAGTCTTTACTCATTTGACTTTTCTTGTCATGGAACTTCAGGGTTGGAGGTAGGAGCAATATAAATGACTACACACTTGCTGCTGAGGCTTGCTTGCCCATAATAAGTGCAATTTTAGCTGACGTCAAGGCTCAAACTTTTCCTCAAAATTGTTTCTTGAATATCGATTTTCCAACAGATATTGCTAATCATAGGGTAATAAATATTATAACTCCTAGTGAACATCTTGCCATCTCGTTTTGAGTTACGCTGTAGAAAATATTATGTTGATTGCTTATTTTACTTCCGTGTTATGAAGTGGGTGGTTAGCAGTAATGGATATATAATATATTTTTTGTGTGTATCATTTAGGGATATAAATTAACCAAGCAAGGTCGATGCATGTACAAACTGGGTTGGAGAAGGGTTACTTCTGACTCTCCAGGAGGTAAAATGTTGTCAACTATGACTATGGAGCCAGCATCATCAGTGGAATGTAATACTTCGAATGAATCCGAGCTGTTTACGAGGCAGGTAGGTTACCCCCACCATTCTATAATTTTTTTTTTTTTTAAAAAAAATCAACATTGATATCTTCTAGTTTAGAGCTATTATATCCTTCCATTTTCAATGATTTTATTTTATTTTTATGATTATTTTTTAAAATTAATAGGTTGAGTATCTCATTTTCTTTTCTTGTAAATACATATGGGACTCTTTCATCTGACCAAATGAGGCGACTTTTGATGCCATCTGTTAATAAGCTAGAGCTACAAGAAAATGTAGCAAATCTATGGAAACTTCCCCTTTCACCTCAACTCCTCACATCTACCGGGCTCAGTTATCAACTTTAGTTTAGAAATGCTATTTGAAACTTATGCTATGGTTGCTTATCTGGATCCATGGGAGAGTTTTACTGTACTGCTTGCTTAGGTTGAATTCAGCAGCACCCATGGCTGTGAGTAGTAATGATTCTACTTAGCTTGTTAATGGAAGACGGGACCAGTCTATTCATATTATAGCCTTGTACATCTAGTAATGTTGGTTATGAGAAAGCCTTCACAGACATGCATAGAGACGAACAATGAAAATAAAATATGATTGTGATATTCACTATAGGCCTTCCTCAACAACACCCTTGTCCTTGTGGGAGAAATTTAAAGAATGCTTCGATATCTTCACCTTAAAGATTTTGCACCGATTTCCTTGAATGTATGCAAGAGTTTCCGTCTTTTTCGGTACCCTTCAGTTGATTTCATTGTTAAATGGAACAGTGTGTAACCCACTAACAAAAATCTGTAGAACAATGGGATTGTTTGGTTCCAGATTGCTGATTCTTTGTAACGTTTAACAATCAGGTCACACCCAATTTGTATTATCAGTTGGAATTATTTTATTTTGGATAATTTGACGATTGTTTAATCATTGCTCGCTTAGCATCACCTGGAGCTTTATATTTGTAAATGTTAACTTCAAGTTATTATCTTTGTAGGTAATAAGTCCACCTGTTGATGATGAAGATACAGATTACAAATATCTACGAGAAGGCTATGTGTGTATCATTTACTTCAGAAAATAAAGCTCATAATTATATGATACGCCGACACTAATTAGTGACTCATAATTCGATTTCAGATTACTGTCACTCCTCTTGCTGCCCTGTCTCGTGCAGAGGTAGACTGCGAAAACATTTTGGAAGCTTGGTTACTTGGTGTGGTTGCTCCGCCATCAGCTTCTGCTTTATAATTCCGTCAGGTTTCTGGGTAATGCCTTTTTAAAAGTTTTATACACATTTGATTTTGTTCAAATATCAATAAGCAGATAGAAATAAACACACAGGAGGCATACAGCCTCTGTTCATGTGTCATATTTATCTTTTATGGTCCGTCCCATTTAGTTTTCTTTTCCCCATCCTCCCCCTCACAGTAATATATGTTCATGAGATGTTATAACGCGAAGTTCATTACAATCTTTTTTTTTTTTTTTTT